CATAGGATTTCATCATGTCATGGACCCTAACTAACACACTCATCTCAACTCAGACATGCAGTTTCTATGCGTACGTTAAAAAAAGCGATGGTCAAGTGTAGAAATACTTCTCTGAACTTCATAAGGTAGTCCCTGCAAACCTTTTTACGTTCTTTTGCCAAAGGTGGTTTTAAGTTTGATGGCATCAGCGAATATTGCACTGTGATCAGTAATTCTGTGACATCATGTTTTAAATTTTGTTTATATTCAAAGTGGCCAACATTCTTCATTTATGGGCAACCTCAAAATTCCTGAAAAGGCAAGTTTATGGTTTAAAGTTATTCCAAACCAATATATGTATGCCAGAAAAATAATCAAGAAAATTTACTTAGTGTTCAAAGCAGCATAGGCCGCTTTTGTCTGCCATATCAAGGAGGTTGAGCGTGTATCTCCGAGATTAACCGCTACCGTTTGGAACTTCATCTGGGAACTAAGTTTAACTAACGTGTAAATATTATTTTAACGAGGTATCGTTTTAAAGCATTGTTTTAAATATTGAGTAATTTGCGTCATCTGATTTTATTTTTAACACTGACAAACTGCAACTCGCCAATATTTTTTTTCCTGACGCAGATCATGAATCTCTTCGCCTTGGTTGAAGTCCGGGAGGCTTTAATACGCCCGTTCCGAAGCTGTTTCTTCCGCTGTAACTAGTCTTTAAAAAGCGTGCCAAATTCCGATTACTTGACTGATTTATGAAAACTAATACAACAACTTTGACTTCGTCAAGCGATTAAGCGATATTGTACAGCTATTAAATTTAACTAGTCATTTAGTAACCACGTCATCCAATTTGATTTGCGTAATAAGGGGGCTTGGATAGCGAGGATTTTTAAAGACCGCCAAAGGAATGTTCGGGTTTTATTTTATCCTTTATAATAATGTGACCTAATGATCTCATCAAGGCTACAGTAAGGTTTATCACATTTTTACCACGTTCCTACATTCGTCAAATGTTCCGGGTAAGTATCAGTTCAAACTCTACCACATGTCATAAGTTTAACTATATTACGTATAGTTACTGTGAAAAGAAAATTATACTGAAAGGAATAAGAGGAATTTCTGAAATTTGAGGTTTTATTGGACAACGAAGCAATAACAGGAGATGCTAATTACCGCGCTCAGTGCATACAGAACTTGCAGAGCGCTTTGGAAAAACAGGATGAGGAGATAAGAGAACTTAACACCCAGCTGTGAGAGTTTAGAGAGGAATGCCGCGAGTGATTCTCGAGTTTGGAAGAGAAGTTGAGCTGTTTCGAGGAGAAAGTTGAGTTGGTTATAAATCTGGTTTCTTTGTGGACGCACCACCCATCCATGGACCGCAAATGTTGAGGATTTTGCACCAAGCATGTACGAACTGAAAAGTCTTTTTGTCGTGGTTTGAACGAACGTCGGAATTTGTGACTGTTGAAAACAGAGCACTTTCAATAAGTACCGAAGACAATTCCCCCATTGCTTTGTTTTGCGTTGAAAAACAATCTCGTGCGACTTGCTCACCCAGTAATAGGGAAAACCGAAGGCAATCGCGCGCTTTTCCCGCGCTTCGCATTAGTTACTTCATCGATTGAGTTGTGATTGGCAAATTTGATTGGCTGCGGCGTTTTTGATTGGATGAAAGTCATTTTGAGTGTACCACACTCAGATGAAACTGCGTTATATATTAGCTTAACACTGATAAAGTGTGAGGTAACTTCAAGAGCCTTTTTGAGGTCTTTGTTTTGTTCTGTATTTTAATGACTGAACTCGTGATATTGCAACTGTTCAATTTTGCTCCAGTGTTATGGTTGACCTATCATTCGATCAAGATAATAATTAATACTTCAGGGTGTTTAGTATTTCTAGTAAACGTATTATTTTGTTGTTTACAGAGGTGTGCGAGCTCACAATAAAAATCTTACCATTTCAAGCCAAAAGATGGTGTCTCATGTTATTTGCGAATATTAGCGTAGTACTTAGCGAATCACATAAGACCCAGGGGCGGATCTAGGGGGAAGGTGCAGGGGGTGCGCAACCCCCCCCCCCGAGATGACCTGCGGTTTTCTAATACAACTGGTATTCTGCACAAAAAAAACTATGTGGTTTATTGGTGTTGAAGTAGAGCAAGAGACGAGTGCACCCCCTCCTAAAAAAAATCCTGGATACGGCCCTGAGACCCAAATTACAAACTTCACACTAGTACAGAGCTATACAAAAAAATGGTATTCAGGCTTGTCCCTTGGCCAAACAGCTGTCACATTTTGCTGGCCAGAGACCACTTTCTTCTTTTAAAAGTCTGAACCTTTAAGAAAATTAGATAAACTGGAGTAAATCCGGAAAGCAATTTGTTTTTGTCCATACATGTCGTTGCTATTACATTGAGATTTTTTTACAATCGCGAAACATGTGAAATTACTGAAGTATTAATAAGGTGGCCACGGACTACTTGGCATGACCTTTTTTCGCTCAAGTAGGTAAATACTGTTTTCCGGGAATGTGATCACTTCCTCTGTCTCATTCTCGAAGGTTCACAGGTCCCTGGTATTTGTCTTCCAGATTTTCTAAGAAATAGAAGTTGGCACTTGTCATTTGTGGAGCTATTTTTCAACCTAGGACGTAAAAACTGTTCAAAGGAAATTTTAGAGTTATAAATTTAGTTTACAATCAATTTGACTTTAAAATATTTTAAGAAAGAGACAGAAATTTTAAAACGCCGTTGGATTTTATCGTCGTTTTTCATTAATACAATGTTTCAGCGGGAACGTCTGTCAGGCTAGTGGCTAGAATTCGTGGATGAATTAAAACACAAGGATTTACTTCTGATAATCTCTACTTTACCGTTGATAAGGCCATTTAAAGATAGTGTTTTTTGTTTGTTTGTTTGTTTTTTGCTAACAGGCAACGCTACGGTTAAATTTGCTTGTCGGTTACTTTTCATTACTGCCTATAAATTATTTACAACTACACTGTAAATCAGAAAGATCTGTTTTAGCCCTAAAAATGACGCTGTTTCGGTGAGTAAAATACAGTCCTATTTTTGATTCTAATTTGGCTGCCTTAAATTAGGCCCAATACACTGGTCCAATTACCTAGGGCTTATTTGGATCCAAGGGCTGACATGGGCCCCAACGTGGGCTGGAATAGCCTTTTGATTGAGCTGTTTTGCCTAAATTGTGTTCAAATGGCTCTAGAAGGGACTGAATCAGACTTTGGCCTGCAGGGCTGAATTGGCACTTTGTGGCTGAAACAGATCTTTTTAATTTTCAGTGTATCCTACACAGAAACACTTTCCACAAAAAACGAAAGGGCCATCGCAGTTTAGTGTGATACAGGCTGATCTTGAAAGCATTCTGCTAGTTCTGCGTAGCATTCCTAGTGTAGATGATGACTTAATTCTGCGTATAAGGATTGTTCCTTTCTTGAAAGCGTCTAGTCAATGAAAACACCTACTGTAAGTACTTAAACTTACCTACTCTTTTTAAGCTGACATTTTCAGCTTAGAAACTAAAGTTCTCAGCTGATCGAAGCAAGACGTCTGCGGGTAAATAATATTGTACTGAATAAATAACAAAGAAATAAAATAAATAATACTAAATGAATAAATAAGTGATCTGAAATAAATAGCTTCTATATTTAAGGTGGAAACAAGAAGATCAATACTGTCCATTCTCATTTCAATGATAAAAATTGGCTACGAGTAAAACTGAAGTCCTGAATTGTAAATGGTGTACCTAGAGACGTAGGTGCATGAGTACTTTTTTCTTTTTTTTATTCAACGCGAACCTCAATTTAAAGTTTACCCTGTATTAAAACGCTGATTTTGAGCGCAAATATTAAAATCTAAGTTATGGTGCAGATCAAACTAGAAATCCTTTCAGAGGTTTTTTTAACCTTTTGTTTTTGTCTAGGTCTTTCGGGAATGATTATTTTTTCCGTGTTTTGCAAGGTGACCACGTCCTGCATGGCTGGAATGATGCCCTTGCGAAAAGCAATGGACAGGAGCTCCTCTGCGGTCTTTGTCTCAGGATATTGACGAATGGCCCATTTGAGGTAGAGTGCAAACTCATTCCAATCCACTCTGCCGTCTTCATCCATATCAATCGCCTTTAGTGCGCGTCTGGTGTCATCGCACCTATAGCAGCCAAAGTAGGGCGCCATGAAGCCGTTGTAAAATGAATCGAACTCAAGCTCGTCATCTCCTTTGGATTCCTCTCTAAGATCCCACTCATCCCACATCTGTCGTATTTCGTTGATCAATCTTCGAGCGTGACCCTCGTTTGGGACATCTGCTGCAATCACGTCGCTCATCTTGGCGGTTATTTGGCCTCCTGATCGGTCAAATAGAACTGCAAGACCAACTGCGCTCATGTATTCCTCTTTCCTGTTGATGTGCAAATCTTCCAGCATGACCTCTTTCATTCTCATGCCTATTTCCTCCGTGAACTGTGAATCCTCTCCGAACAAATGTTTTAGTCTTTCAACGATCATTTTAGGTGTGGCCACAGTAGTTATTCGTATTGGGGGCTCTTCTCCAAAGAACTTGGCAACATCAAATTCTTGCTTGTCTGGCTGCAAATGGGGAAATCCGAGAACCATATCAAGAGCTCTCTCACCATACACAATCTGCGTTGGATGAGGTTCAAACCCAGTTGTGATCCTAGTGATCTCTTGAGCGGCTTTACGAAGGTATGTACAGTTAAACTGTCGCAAAACCTTTTCATTCCCAAGACGGACCAAGTTCATTATGGTCACGCTGGAGGAAGCATGACCGACGAAGGCGCCCTCTTTAATCAAACTAGCCCATATACCATCTGCTCCCCTTGCAAGACACTCCAACACAGTGCAGTCAGCCATTCCCCATTGCTCGTGGACATGCACCAATAGCTTACCGTCCTTCCAACAACAATCGTCCATCTCTCTACGAACTGCCGCCGTCCAGGCAGCGAGTTCATGTGGCATGGACTTGCCACTTGGTTCTTCGTACATCAAACCAAAGGGACGCTCACTTGGGGCAAAGAGGACAAGTAATGGACCACTTGGAAAATTCGTTTAGGGTTCTTCAGCATACTCTCCGGAAAGTCACGGAGGTTGATGAATATGCGGGAATCCTTGGAAAGATTTTCTCTCACCCACGTCATTCGATCAGAAAGAAGGTTGTTGATATCTTCAGGAAGAAACTTTTTGTAGTCGATGCCACCGTAGACTAAGTCAACCTCAATAATGGCATGTTTGATGCCATACTCTTTCATCTTTTTGAAACCAATGGGAACAGTTGCTGTATCGGGATATCTATCTTTGTCAACAGATTCAATGAACTCCGTGAAGGCAAAAAATTTACTGAAGTCTTCTCCTTTTTCTTTAAGTTGACTGCAGAATGTGTCCCCCAGGCGGGTCATGTGGTTAAACGATGCGACGATGATATTCTGGAAGCCTACTTTTTTCACCTATACATGAATAATAACGAAACAAAAATGGGAAGTTATGGCGTCCCTATATATATATTTTATGTAATGTTAGTTTCTGGGAGAAGGGTGGGAAGAATTAGTGGGCAAGAGTGACAGAAGAGAGACGGGGAGAAGAAAATGGATAACAGAAGGAGATCGATGAGAAGTGACTGATGGAGACGAAGAAGAAACAGATGCAGAGGAAAGAGAAAGAGAAGGAATTGGAGGAAAAGATGAAACAGAAGGATGGGGAAGGAAGAAGTGAAGAGTGGGAGACATGAAGAGGGGGTAGGGGGAGAAGAGAGGGCAAGGAAGCGGAGGGAGGAAGATGAGAGGAGAAAAGGGAGCAGAATGAGGAGAAGATGAAGCAGAACGTGGAGTAGCGAGAGGAGAAGAAGAAAAGTGTAGAAGAAAGAAGACAAAAAGGAAAGGCAAGAAGAGGAGGAGGAAGAGGCAGATTCAGAAAACTAACGAAATGGAGGGGGAGGAGAAGAAAAGAAACAGATTAAGTTGAAGTTCTTAGCCAAGCGAACACCATATCATACTCTTCCAGTGTAGGAATTATATTCACTATACAGAGTAATCATAAGGAATATTCAGATGGGACTGGCTCACCTCGTTGTATATTTTCCATTTGTTTTCGACAGTATGGCCACGGAGCTGTCCTACAGTGCTTTCTCGGAGGGAATTGTCCAAAACGAAAAGGTCCAGTTCCTTAAGTTGCTTCAGTTGTTCTTTTGGTTCTCGAAGGTCCTCGTTCATGCGATTAATTTGTTCCAGGAAAGACATGGTAGATTTACTTGAGCTAAAAAAAGGAACACAAAGATGAGTCAATTCTGAATCAATTGCAAGACTTGGTTCTATTTAGGAACAGTTTGAATCGTTTCGTATAGTTCTCAATCTGCTTCTTCTTTCTTTTTATGAACCTAGTTTGATGGCCTTACTCCCACGATTCACCTGTAGCTTAGTGGCAGAGCATCTAGTCTAGAAACCAGAAGGTGATAGGTTCGACTCTTATTGGAAGTACTGGGATTTTTTTCTTCTGAGCAGCCAATGTCCCTGACTGTGAAAAACGCATCTTTCTCAATACCTTAGTCTTAACACATCACGGAAGCTTTGGAAAAGTCAAGACGACTTTGAACCTCTCTCTGCAAATGTTATCGAACTTTGCAACTAGTTATTTTCAATGATTACTCGATGAAAACAAAACATCACCTTGGCCTCTCTGAAGCTTAAAATTATCACTCAGGTTCTTATTTGTCCGGTAGAGCTTTCACCTAGAGTACCTGTTGTCTTTAAAATTATATCGGGGCGAATACATGCTTATTCGATGGAGTCAATTCTTATATCTTGATTTGTTTGACTGGTAATTTTTCTGAGAATCCGATCACTTCCTCGTTCCAAATCACTCTTACTGACGTAATAAGGGAGGGGCGCAATACAAAGGGTAATGGTTTCCTACTGTGTGTTTTAACAATCTGGGTTTAAAATACCACTAACGTAGAGCACTCATCGCTAACTTTCACGCTCCTTTAAAGGCCTGACGCTGAATAATGAAATTAGTGTATAGCCTATACCGTGGAGAAAAAACCGTACCCTGTTCAGAGGCACATATACTCGTTTGAGCCAAATAAGGGAGTGCCCCCCCCCCGGTGGCTACTAAACTAGGTGTCACCATTTACTAATCTGACTCGAGAAAAGCTAGCGTCTGACGTTTCCTTGTGACATCAGAATTCCCATGCATGCTTAGCCGATGACATCAATAGAATATTTGTATTCTCCGACGGCCCTAGGACGAAAGACTTCTCAGCATGATTGCAAGGCTAATGCGGAGAACTTATTGACGAAAACAAAACTCAGGAAGTCGCGGCTGAAGCGTTGCAAAACGATAGAAATCAGAAAAAAAACCTGCAAGATTTAAAAGCTGAAACCTTAGGGGTATGCCGAAGGGATATCTGTTCCAAACAACGAAACTGTGAAAGAGCTGGTCGTACTAACAGTAAAATTAAAAAGCCACGGAGCCACTAGAAGAGGCAAGTAGACTAGTCTAAAAAATGGTAAATTGTGTCAAAATATGATGATTCGAATCCTTTTGATTTCATACTTCTTATTATTCCTAATTACCTGTGAGTGGGGTATTTGTAAAATGGAGTTTAAACTGCTCAGTATTATCGTCTTTGCAAACGTCTGAGTTCAACTTCTCGTCGAGTAAAATTTTTATTGGTTATGTACTCAGTTGTGACCGAATACGTTGATAAATAATGTATTAAACGTGAATTTATAAATAAACTTTACTTTTCAAGCCATCTCTGTTCAAACCGATTTAACTTCCTTACAAATGAAGGACGGTGTGCAGAACGCTATGCCCTGTCCTGATAGATAGGCGCCGAATATACTTGTCCTGTTTATTTCGAATACGCAAGATTTTGTACTTTGTACCTGCTATGTAAGCAAATTTCAACTGCAAAGTAGGTGTTTTACTTTTTTACAGGGTTTTGACAGGTAAGTCCATTTCAATATATGATACCCTTCAAAAAGTTTTAATATAAACAAAGGCCTCAAGAATTTTGAGACCACAAAATTGCATTATATTTTCATTAATAAAATTGCTCACCAACTACTCTTTCCAACAATATCTGGTTAGGCTCGGTGTTTCTCTCAGCAAATAAAGACGACCAGAAATCTTCCTTTTGCTATTTAAAATAATGATCCGTCAAACCTGTAATCTCTCCGAAATTTCCAACGTTAAACATTTTCCTTGATTTTTGACAACCCAGCCGTAGTTTTCTTATGTTTGTTTGTCTTCTCGGTAAGAAGATCCCCGCATTAGCCTCGCATGTTTAAGGCCTACTCGTTCCAGGACCGTCGGGGAAACGAATATTGTCTATTCCTATATTTTAATTTGCTCACATAGCAACTAAATTATTTTCCTGGAAACCGATCACTCCCTCAATCGAATAGCCCCTTAGGTAAGCATGAACACAGGAATATTACTTAGACTACTTAGTAATTGTTTTCTTGAGTTTGGCCGTTTATGAAATATAGCGATTGGAAGTACTTCGATTTTTAGAATAACTAGACGCAGACAAGGGAGAAACAAATTATTTGAGTATCATTATTTATTTATAGCATTATTAGACAATGTATTATGCATGGAAGGTCTCTAAATTTACTTATCAACGTAAGCACTTTAATTCATTATTTGCAAGTTTATACTACTACATAAGAAATTTCTTCAATTTGATTGGCTAAGAGCATTGGTATCTCAGCTTAATTTGAAATACCTACATGTGAAAATTACAAAACCTTCGCGTGTAGTAGTATAAACAAATAATAGCATGATTTGTACGTGATATTTGGCATAAATACCACTGGTCACTCGTGGTATTTATGCCAAATATCACTACAAATCATGCTATTACCTATACTAATTTGGAAAATAAAAAAATTGGTCGCACGTGAAATCAGAAACGATAAACAGTTCATTGAAAAGGACAAACGCTAAAAGCTATGAATCTCCTTTAACGGATCTTCTATCCGTTATAACACTCCTAAATCAAGCAAGGAAGTGTTGCGCATCATTTCAAGTTATTTTTATTAGGAAAGCGGAAGTTTCGTTCTTTTAGTACATTGTGATAAACAAACTTTTCTGAGATATGAAATGAAAACTGATCGCTCATTGTTTGCAAGTACAATCACTGGCATAGGATAACACAAAGACTTCGCGCCAATTTCGAGACTGCAAATGCTGAAATCAAACTTTTACATTAAAACAGTTTTCTTGAAATGGAATAAAGGACATTTGAAGAATCGACAAGATCATTGCTAATTATAGAAAACTATATCAGGGCAAGTCGACTGTTTTTTAAAATCAAATTTCATAAACCACTTTTCTTGGAAACATAAACGAGGAGCAACAAAATGATAAGTACTATCTACAGCCATAGGAGTTTCTTTGAGCTTCCAGATGTTAGAAAAAATTTCGCAGCACTTGTTGAATTAAAAAGTCAAAACAAAGGGAAAAAGACGATGTTGTTCTTTAGGGCTCTTTCCTTCCGGTTGAAGATCGAAATAAGTACCAAAACTAATTCCGCAATTGCTTTCTTTTCTGTTGAGACTTTTTTATGGGTCGAAAAACCTCGTGCGACTTGCTCAACCAATAAGAGGGAAAACCGAAGGCAATCGCGCGCTTTTCCCGCGCTTTGCATCAGCTACTTCATCGACTGAGTTGTGATTGGCAAATCTGATTGTCTGCAGCGTTTTTGAGTGGATGAAAGTCATTTTGAGTGTACCACACACAGTTGAAACTGCGTTATATATCAGATTAACACTGATAAAGTGTGAGGTAATTTCAACAGCCTTTTTGAGGTGTTGATAAATTTGTCTTGTTCTCCATTTTAATGATTGAACTCATGATATTGCAACTGTTCAATTTTGCTTCAATGTCATGGTTGCCTTAATAGTGCGACTGGTCAAATAATTTTGGGGTGACCGGTAAGTTAACGTTTCTTTTTCGTATTGACCTATCATTCGATCAAGAAAATAATTATGAATTCAGGGTGTTTAGTATTTCTAGTAAACGTATTATTTTGTTGCTAGAAAAAGCGGTGACGGGAAAACTTTTAGAGGGGTGTGCGAGCTAGCAATAAAAATCTTACCATTTCAAGCCAAAATATGTTATCTCATGTTATATACGAATATTAGCGTAGTACTTAGCGAAACACTTAAGACCCATTGGCGGATCTAGGGGGAGGGTGCAGGGGCTGCGCACCCCCCTGCCCCCGCAAAAAAACTATGTGGTTTATTGGTGTTGAAGTAGAGCAAGAGACGAGTGCACTCCCTCCTAAAAAAATCCTGGATCCGCCCCTTAGACCCAAATTACAAACTTCACACTACTAGTACAGAGCTATACAAAAGAATGGTATTCAGGCTTGTCCCTTGGCCAAACAGCTATCACATTTTGCTGGCCTGAGACCATTGCTGGTTTGTCTTTTTGAATGATTTAGTTAAAAGATGACTTTTCCCGCCGCACCTCCAAAGCCAGGGAAAAGCGCCCTGGGGACGAGTTTAGACTTTCCTAGGCCTTTGGATATTGGGTTACTTGTCCAGCTAGAAATTCTACTACTTAACTTGGCGATTTTGGCCGAGGCAGTATTTCTCGGGGTTTAATTTTTTCGATTTTAACAGGTAAACATGAGAAAAAGGGCATTAAATTTCGCGATTTAAGCGTTCTCAACTTCATTTTTGAAACAAGCAATGTGTGAAATCCTAGCAAACTAACGTCATTTCACAAGATACAAAATGGAGTCTACCAGTAAATCCAGAAAGCAATTTGTGTTTGTCGATACATGTCGTTGCTATTAAATTGCGATTTTTTTACAATCGCGAAACATGTGAAATTACTGAAGTATTAATAAGGTTGCCACGGACTACTTGGCATGACCTTTTTTCGCTCAAGCAGGTAAATACAGTTTTCCGGGAATGTGATCACTCCCTCTGTCTGATTCTCGAAGGTTCACAGGTCCCCGGTATTTGTCTTCCAGATTTTCTAAGAATTAGAAGTTGGCACTTGCCATTTGTTGAACTATTTTTCAACCTAGGACGTAAAAACTGTTCAAAGGAAATTTTAGAGTTATAAATTTAGTTTATAATCAATTTGATTTAAAAATATTTTAAGAAAGAGACAGAAATTCTTAAACGCCGTTGGATTTTATCGTCATTTTTCATAAATACAATGTTTCAGCGGGAGCTCGTGGATGAATTTGAACACAAGGATTTATTTCTGATAA